AATTGGCTATGTTGTTGACCGCTTTTAATCAAGAATTCACTCGACTTCTCGAACATTTTTTTTTGCATGTGTATTTAAGCACGAAAGCTCGCTAGAGCAGCCCCGCATACACTGAGACGGCGTGGCGGGCAATATACACACTCGTATTAAAGAACCGTGAAAATTCTGTTAGTCATACGTCACTGAAAAAAATTCACTGTAATACTGCCCTCTGTGTTTCCACTCGCAGTCTTCCTATACATGCGCGGCCGCTTTTAGAATGTGGTGGAAGCTCGTTGCGAAAGATATTGACCTCCGTGATGTCCTCCTAACTTTATAGTTTGAGGCTGTGTCTTCAATACGGAGAGTGAGGTGTGCGCTGTACCACGGTATACATCCTGTTATTAAGAAGAGCTGTAAAAGCATGGCGGAATTTTTGAAACTTCATGAGCGGCCTTCGAGAAGTAACCTGGTATTATTCTGACGCGATAGCCGGCGCTCAGCCCCCGCACCGTCTTCTGAACTGCGCCTCGGAAGGATGCTCAAGTTGTGCGTTGCACGCTTACACTCCGCTTATTTGCGAACTCATCATATCGCGTGTGTATCGTGTCCAAATTGTATTCAAAGTGACTTGGATGAAGCAGTGTGCAGTGTCGAGGTGGTGTTATGTTTAGAGCTTTAGTTTGTGGAATCGCCAAAGTGACTGAGCATGCGCGCTCTAATGTTTGTTCGGCCCCTGCGTGAAGATGAAGCGTCCTTTGTTGAACTGCTGCATTATGCTTTGCGCCAGCACGCAAATGAAATGTAATCGCTGTACATACGTGTGCCTCTTGACCGAAAAAAAACAAGAAAAAATCTATTTAATACTTTGCGCGTCACTAATCTTTTTCGGGATGTTTACGTGGTGCGTGCGAGCGGCGTCACGTTGAGGCTTGTTTCTCGGATCTTGAAAACTGCTTGAAGCGGACAACGCGAAGTAGGAATTGGGACAGTTGCTTGTCACAATTCTTCCCTGTGTCCTGTGTATGTATATTTCGTGCGTGCCTTCTGTTTGGAGTGTGCGTCATGAATTTCGAGCTGCTTGACATGGCAATTTGTTACTGCAGCATTCGTGGCTTCGCCCTTGTGGCGAAACAGTGCACAATGAATGCTCAGCTACATCTGCGAGGGCACTTTTCGCGTTCGTTTTATACCAATACCTAAAAAGAGGGATCGATCACGTTTTTTTTTTCCCTATCGGATTCGAATGAAACGGCGAAACTTCTGCACGACTATATATCGTGTCAAGATGTAATCTACCAAGAACCCTGTGTGCAGATTGTCATAGAGTGCAACATTTTTTTTCCATGTCACCTTCCATCCCCCGACGCAGAGAGGCGTGGCTGTTGTGATCACGTATCGCACATACCGAGTCTCCCGACGAGGTAACTAGTCGTGGAAAGATACACATTTGTTCCAGCGACTAATTTTCCTTCAATGGATCATGAAAGATTGGGTGAAGTCGCTGCCTAAGCCCGCGTCTCGTGCATTTTGCCCGCGGGCGTCAACGGACTTGGTGAGTGCACGAAATCAAAATCACGTACGGGGGTGTTGATCAGTCGAACGCTCATCTTACCAGCGCCACGAAGGCTTTCGCCGTCTACTCTGGACGGTGTTGGACGAATTCATATCGCGTATCGGGAGAGCGTTCCACGCACACTTTTGGCGAAGTTTGGGCAAGAAAGAGGAGCGACGCAAAACTGTCCTCCAAGTGGAACGTCGTCTTCGTTGCCACCACGTCTGCGCTGTGTACACACATTGTCCTCTTGATGTCCTGCCATCTTCGTCGTCGCAGCTTTCCGCGCGATTGACGCGTGCTTCTTGCGATAGTGTCAGATTTCTCGCATATTGCCCCTCGGTCATCCGTTCCCCGCATGCATTAACGGGAACTGTAGTTTCTTTCATTGCTCTTTGTGCCGCTTGGCGCCTCTCTGTCCTTGCCTCCCGTGTGGACACGTCGGTCTAGTGTTTCGTCGCGCGAGGTGATTTCTGTTGACGCGTCGTCGTCTTCTCCGGTATCACGTTGCTCAACTTTTTCCCCGCGTGTGGCCCATCGGTCGTCACAAAGCGTTCGGCGTCGTTTGCCGCGGGTAAACGATGTTCTGCCGCACTGTGACATATCATATTCCTATTTTTCGCGTTGTTGCTGCGTCGATTTAGGGCACATTTAACACAGAGGAAAGAACGATGCCTACAAAAACGGATGCTTCTATCGCGCCGAAAGCGAACAAAGCTGTTTGAATTGGCACTGAATTTATTATATAGCTTCAGTAAAGGGTGCCATCTGTTATGCCGACAATGCCGCCCCTAATTGCTTTTATAACTGCAACAGCTGGAACATTGGTGGTCGTTCTGTTCGCCTTTAGATGACGCGAATAAAAGTGAGTGTGCAATCTCGTATCGTATTGATGTAATAAGGCTTGCATTTGCGCAATGCGTGACTCTTGGGATGATGACAGTGTTCGAGATGGCGTAATGCATTGCGAAGTCGTGATATAACGGCATTTACTCAGAGTTTTTAATACAAATGCGCTTGCTGAACGTGAGAATGACACTGACGTCCTCAACAACCGCAGTCCCTGAAATAGGTTGGGGGCCTACGAGCTACAAGAAAACCCGCTCGCTTTTTGGTTAGCCGAAACCGTAGAGAAACTTCGTCATTGGATACGAAAGGGCTTCATACAGAACCTTGATCTTGTGAGGCCGTTACCTGGACGAGGAGGAGGGGTGAGGTGTGTTCGACTACCTGTCTGTAAAATGGAAAGTGTGTTGGTTGGTGGTCAATAATTTTTTTTTAGTGGAGAAGGTGTAGGAATCGTTCTTCAGAGGGGTGGTGTTATTGGGGGGGGGGGGGGGGTATATATTTGAGCTGCTATCGAATCCGGTGCCAAAACTAATATTTAGTCAGTTTTTTTTTCTTGTTAAAGTAACAACGTCATATAGATCTCAAACAGGTGGATAGCAGTTTTGCCTAATGTGACCATGAACAGATGTGGTTACGAGGGATGAATCTGCGTCGAAACGGGGCGTGCCGTCTCGTCCCATCTCGTGCGAAGTTCGTGGTTAGGCACGCTATGCGCTTAGTGGGGCTGCAGGCCAGTCCGGGAATGAATCGGTCATGTAGACAGCCGAGCCGCTCTTTTCGCCGTCGCGGAACTGCGGCTGTCCATTACTACGTTCGTTTTCTCGGCGCTCAGGGCATTTGGCTATACCTGGCCAGTCGGTCGGCCTCTCCTTTCACTCGGCGCGGACATTTCTGGTATCGCATTCGTCACTCTGACGCGCATGTCAGCTTGTGCTGCGGGGGCTGTGCATTCAGCCTTGAGACCAGGATAACTGGGGACCCGGAGGGGCTCAGCCGGAGCAATTCTTGCTTCTTCGTGGAAGAGGAGGCATGCCCCCGCTGTTGCGCCATTCCAGGAAGGCGCCAGGCCGCCGTCCAGCGGCCACGGAGACCCGGACGCGGCTGGCTGGGCCGCCGATTGGCCCAGTCTGCACGGCGCCGTGCAGGGGGATCCCGCCGAGGTCGCCGGGCACGTCAAGGGCGCCTTCGCCGGTGTGCGTCTTCTCGTTTTGTAGCTTCCGTCTTTGCTTTGTTTTGCGGTCAGGTGTGACAGTGCGCCCCATGGCCCCTTCTCCGAACAGCTGGGCGAGAGGCGGCAGAAGGTTTGGTGGCCCGTGTCCCATTTTTTTTTTAATTTTCACCCGCGCATCGTCTTCGAGAGAGGTGGCGGTTCTCTTTCTCTCTCTCTCAAACGCCCCCCAAGGAATTTATTTGCGGCTCGCGGTACTGCTGTTAGTGCTGCACGCACGTGTTGCACTCCTCCGGGGCACCCTGAAATCGGCCGCAGTGCCAGCGGTGAAGATGAGGATGGCTCTATTTTTACCTCTCCGGATGATGCGACCGCTGTCCGGGATTTCGTCACATCGCTTTGGAACGGCGTGCCCGTAAATCCTGCAAACGTTGTCCCGCGTATATCGATATGACCGACTTCGTGCTCGTTGCAGCGCTGGCAACTCACGCCCTCTCCCAGTCATCCCGTCCCTTTGCACGCGGTCATAAGTGTAAGCATCCCGCTACCGCGGGATGCTTACACTCGTGTGTATATTCAGTTATGTGCGTTAGAACAGCTTACAGAATTTCGCACACCCATCTTCGCATTGCCCTTTTCTATGATCCATTAATTTGGGCTTAACTGTTTGGGAATTCCTAAACGTGTTATAAGGGGTTTTCAACGCACCAGTGCCGCCATTTACGCAGTGCTTGTTCGCTGTGGCGAGTGTCTGTATTAGACAATCGTGTCGTCATGGTATGTGGATTTCCGCTTTTTATTATACTTCGTCGTTATCGCGAGCTAAACACACATAGCGCGCATGCGGGATACACTTTGTCTCTTCTTCAGCATGCGAATAAATCTCGCTACACGCAACCTGCAGCGGCCTTGCGCTGCTAAGCGTTCAGAAGGCTGCTTCGATTCCTATCCTCTGCGGCTGCGTATGCCCCCATGACAATCTCCGCTATAATATTCTTGCGTTCTGCATGCTTACGTGTACATACGCGCATAAGAACGTACGCCCGTGAGCAAAAGTATACAGACCACTGCCGTCCGTGCACACATGTGTGGTCTAGTGACGAGCCGTCTACAGGCAAGAGCATTTCGCTCGCTGCCAGAGTAGAGCTGTTGACAGCAAGTCTGTGAAAGCAGTGCTCTCGACAGTAGACGGCTCGCTACTTGATGGCGTAGACAGTGATTTCGTTGCTCACGGGTGTACATAAGAGGGGTGTGCGGAGGTGGGCGTATACATACATTTGTGAGTGTGTGTGTCAAAACAGACACCACATTTGTGCACAGTGCAAGTACGGGACGTACAATCGCTATTTATCATTTTTGTATTCATGCATAGTGATTATACAGATGTACAGTGAGTGTTTGGTTGCGCCTTTCTTTTTTACAAGTGGTTGTTTTTCTTTATCTTTGCAGTACTGCAATGGAGGAGACTTGGCCGAGTACCTCTTGGGTGAGTTGTTCTTAATTTCGTTGAGTTGTATTTATTTTAACCATTAGCTGGACCACTTCACTTAGCCCAAGTATTTGAAGCTAGGAAATAATAAAGCAGCAACTGACTTGTGGCCGTGAGCTACTGTTTGAGACCGCAGCAGCAAACGCACGTTCTACGAGATTTGGCGTGGTAATTTAGTCGCATGTAATTAATTGACGCCTATATGCACGTTGCAATCGCCTAAACACGCACGCATCCTTCGGCGTAACAGCGTTTCATGACTCTTTTATGAAGTGGTCTTTCTTTCTTTGGCGATCAATTAGCAATGAATACATCAGACAATCGATGGCTATGTGAATTCATACGAAAACATACTCGCTTGTGCGCTATTAATCGCACTCATTTGCGTCGCAGATAATCAACCCAGGGGTTATTGCTTTAAATTGCATTTCATTCGTTGGGGAGGCATTGTTGGATCGCGTGCTTGCTTTCTTTGATCCAAGTATACATTGCTGCTGGTGCTATCGACAGTGTTGTCATTTCAACTTATCGCTAGTCGTCATCTCTGAAATTGGTCGCCTGTTCATACCTGGCCGAAAGGCTTTGTTGCGCGCGGGCGCCATTAATTTTTTTTTTTTACAGAGCCGGAAGGTTCGATTTAAGCTTCGCAACTGGACATTGGTCCTGTGGCCGTTGTTGCCCACCCTCATTATACAAAGCTGGCACAAGTCCAGTGTGCCTGAAGTATTTGTTGTTGAAGTATTTGTTACCATGACTGAATTCTTCCCTCGAGGTCGCGCGCTGTCCTGTATGGTTCGCCGCCCAAAGGGTGATGCTTTGGTAGCGCCGTGTGGCATTACATTACATGACGTCATGCCGGAACTCGTGACGTCAGAAACTTTTGGTGTGTGACGCCATATAGTTACGTTATGAAGTGATATTTTTTGCATCACTCGTCCCGACGCTGTGGGTCAGATTTTCCGTTCGATGAGGCGTCGAAGGCTTTCGCCTTTAAGTGTAAGAAACTGCAGTGTAAGAAAGTAGTTGGTTTGGCGTCATATTTACGTTTTTTTATTGTGTCTAGCTCGGGAACGTAAGTTAAAAAAATTGCCCGCAGCTTCCCTCGGGGGAACACTGAGGAGGATGCGGAGCATATAATTGGTTAACGGGGTGTTAAAGTGCGACTTACTTGGGTCGATGGCTAAATTGGTTAATGTGGTTGTGAAATGGGGTGTTAAATTGCGACTTACTTGGGTCGATGGCTAAATTGGTTAACGTGGTTGTAGGAGGGGGTGTTAAATGAGTGAACACGTACACACGTATGCGAAAGGGCGGCGCTGGTCGAAGGGACGTCGATCATTGTGTTTGTGGATTCGTTGGAATTCATTTCACCGCGACCTTGGACGTCGACGCGCCGTACAAACCAACCGACGAGCGGCAACTGAGCGAGCGAGCGCCGACCTTGAGTATATATACAGCTCGACGGCGCATGCACTGTCAGCTGTTGAATGTTCTCGAAGCGCGACGCCACATGCGCGTCCACTGGAGAATCAGGAGAATTGTAGATGTCGAACGCGGTGTGTAGAGGAGGAAGGGTGCACAGATGGTGGAGGAGTGAAGCGCGCGCGGTGTGTAGAGGAGGAAGGGATGCACAGATGGTGGAAGAGTGGGCGACGGCGCGACGGCGCATGCGCGCGCGTCAGCTGTCGAATGTTCGAGAAGCGGCGCGGACGGCGCACTACAAGGCGCGAGTATAAGATGCTTCCGCATCTAAAAAAAATGTGCATACGTGGCGTTGGGCGATGAGTATGGACGGATATTGAAATTAACGGCATGAAACTAGCATGCCTCCGAGACTTCCGCCAAGAGGTCTCGGCTGCATGGGCGATTGCTTGTTGCACGCGAACTGCTAACCCGGCGCTGGCTAAGCGCGCGCGCATTGTGGGCACATGCCTCGGGTCGTACCGCGGGGTCTCCGGTGGACTGTATCGTTAAACTTGCCAGAGAGCCCCTTTTCCGAGAAACGCGCGCGTATCCGTGCCAATGCACTTTCTTCTCCCTGAACCGCGCAGTCACGGCCGCTGTGCGAGTGCAAGCTGTATATGCTATCTCGGCGATCATAATTGTTGACACACGGGCCCCATTATACTGCGTTATGCGTATATCCCACGCTGGCGTAACGCCGCGCTGTCTGGCCGCACCGTTGGCGGTGATCAGCTGTGTGGTTCGAGACTGTTCAGGCGACGACCATTTACAGCGGACCCGCGGGGGTTGCGAATAAAAACGGGTTTCTCGCGCAAGGCGCCTGCGTCGCGTTCTGTTGTTTTGCTGCGTTCTCGCAGGCATTGCCTGAGCGCTGGCGACTGTAGCGTGTGTATTCGGGGACACGGGAGTTAGCGAGACTAGCTCGCTCGCTTAATCGGCGAGAGGTCTTGCTGTTCGTATAAAGCAGCCGGTGTCGCCTTGCTTTTATTTCTTTCTAAGACAACGTTTTTCTTTTCCCGTCTCGGCTATCCGCGTGCTGTTTTGTCGTCCTTGGATGGGCCCCCTCGCTATCGCTCTACACCGCGGCGGTTCGCAATTAATTGCTCGTTTTGATATTGCTGCTCCTGGCATGGGGCCGCGCGGTGCGAATCGTCTGCATGGAGCGAGTTTAGTCCCTGCAGAAATTGATTTGAATTGGCTGGTGCGTCCACCTTCTACGGGACTTGTGAGGTATGCGACGTATTGGTTTCACATTCAGTCATGGTCAAAAAAAAAAAAACAAAAAACAAAAACCAAACGCGAGTGGAGAAAAATTGATTTGAGTCAGAATCTTCAGTTTTTTTCAGAGGGACGCTAAGCTTAAAGAATTATTCAGTTTATACTAATAAGCTATTCTTTATATGCTGTATTGCAGCTAATTTCGCCATCATAGGTTAACATTTGTCAGAAAATGAGTCTGTTTCATTTTTAAATTAAGAGCCAGAATGTCTGCACCGTAATGAATTTCTAAGTGGGTTTATGGTGTTTTGGCCGAATAGCTCGATAAAGTTAGATGAAAATTGGTTATAGTGAGTCTCTGGTCCCCTCGTTAGGTGACGCACTTAATTTTTTTGCTAAAGACTACGTGGGCTACGATAGATCATCGATAAAGATGTAATTCCGTTAGTATAGGAATTTCGGGCTGGGCCTTGCCACCTGCATTATCTTTTTCCGCTCTTTCGCCGCTTGCCACATTTCATCCTGCTCCAAGAGTTGTGCTGGTGGGATTGTGAAAGAGATGCCTTACCAATATAAGAAATATTTGCTCTGTAGTGTCCCTGTAATGAACAATAAAAAGGGGGAAGAGGTTAAGAAAGAGGGGAAAAAAATAAGTGCTCGAACTATAGTGCAGACAGTGAAGCTGGTTTGGCGGCAATTATGGTCCACTGTGCATTTACAAATGGGTATTGGTGTTTGGAGGCCATGCACAGAACTACACAGGCTTGCACTTAAGGAGTGAGCGTACGAGTATGCCTCAAGCGCCATCTAACGGCTCGGCAATGGACGCTTGCACTGAGCTGGACAGCAGTCATTTGCTACCCTGTGCTTGCGTCTAATCATTCCCCCTCTCGTCTCGTTGCTATGCCTTGTGTCCGTAATTTGTTCAAACAAAGTGCTGAGACAGGTGCGTTTAGTTTGCTACCTAGTTGTTTACTGTTTCATTCGTTGAGGTATTCAGAGTTCCATGACAGCAGAAGCTGGTTATAGTGAAATGTAAATGTAATAATATTGTGATATCCTATGTGCCAGAACTGTTATACGATAAGCCGAAATGCCGCTGTAGGGTTCATCCACACCACTGCATTTCACCCACTTCGAAACTTCTCCACTTATGGCGAGAATCGATCCTGCTCCCTCATGTTTAGCAACGCAATGCCATAGCGGCTGTGGTCTAGCCATGTTCAGATTAAGGGCTTTGGAGGAATGTATTATGTACTGTTCCTACAAAACATAAGAGATGGGGTCTCGGACTACGTTTAGTACCTTAACTGAACAGCTAAGGGCACTGTTAATTACTGTCGGCTCATGTTTCTGCACATTTTTTTTCTCGTGGCCTGCGATGACTAATACGCCACGCATCATATGCTTGGAACCTGGCAGCTTCACTATATTCAGGGAGGGGGCTCAGTTTATTTGCAATGATACTTCATTTTGGCAATATATGCCACTAAGTATAACTGGCTACAAATGACTCAACCAATGTCTATTGGCGATTTCCGCCAAATTTAGCGGTTACGTATTTGTTCGACACATCTTTAGGCCACGTGTTGTTGTAGTTCCATTCCAATGCTATGAATGTTACTTTTTATTCTGTGCACACATTATCAATATAGGCTTGCTGGGAGGCGTGTATAACAGTGGGGTGCAGTCGAGCAAGTGGAATCCTCACACTATTTGTTTATTTATTTTCTTGTTAGTTTTTTGCACACAGTCCTGCTGGAGTTATTAGAAGAGCTGTATTGGTATTTTTTGGCTCTAAGTTTCCAAAAATCTTCTAACATTGCATTCTGATGCAGTTGCTGACACATCCTTCGGCCTACATTTAGTGTACCACACTCTTGAATTTCGCATCGAGCATCTACTAGTTGTGAATCTAATATTTTTTACGCTCAGCTTTGAATGTTTCGTATTCACATAGTGGGCATGCCGTCTGGAGTGCTCAAGTACATTGCAACTTAGTTTTTGCACACGTGGATGGGACCATTCTCTGCATTAACTGTGCCTGTCACGGTTCTTCTCGCTTCGACTGAAGTGCTGCCAGCTGCTACGGTGCTGCACGCGTATTTCGCTTGGAGAGACACTAAATAGGAAAACGATTTTTCTCGTATTAGTAAAGTACTCTTTCGAAATTGTGAGGCCGCTACTCTTGTTGCGAGAATACGCTTTATAATCACGGAAATGAGCGAGGAGAAAATGTTGTGGCGACACCAACTTGAAATTCTGGCACCATACTCTGCAATGTAAATTTTGACGACATCGGCTAGGTCTTGCACATCTGCTAATTAGTAAAAAACAAAGTATATTGACCTCTAAGAGGCTTAACTAGCCTAGATTCTAAAAATTTTGTGCCGATGCCAGCAAAATATGGAAAAATATGCTTTGTAATTTGTAATGTCACGTGCGTAAATTTCTGTGCAAAATATAAAAATAGAACTTGGGCCTTAATTTTTTTTTATTAATAAACCCGTGCGAGTGATATCAATTCAGAGATATTTGAGTACAATTTATTACTCTAATCCTACGCATTGTTTTGCCTTAGTGTCATTTTGTGTCGCATGTTAATATTCTACTTTAGTATTGTGTGATTGCCGTTACTCAACTGGGAATTTCCGCACCGCTATTTTTTTCTTCTCCACTAATTGCAGAGAAAGGTACGCTGAGTGAGACTACCATCCGCCTTTTCCTGAGGCAAATTGGTGAGTTATGTGCTGGAGGTTATTACCTCGATGTTACAGTTCTCCCATGTGAATATTATTGAAATGGCTGCATCCTTGAAATTTACTTCGGCATCATTTAGTTCCATTTGTTGCACTTGTAAGCAGTCACTGCGCAAGGACGAGCCTGTTAATTTGACTCTGAGTAAGGTACAGGCTACTAAAGCAAGGCAGCAGTTGTCACTGGCGACCCACATTGAGATACACATCTACATATTACACTCATGAGTTGTACTTGAGGCATTGCTGGTAAATCTTGCTTCATATTTACTGCATAGTACTGCAGGCTTTCTTGGTGTCGAATTTACATAGGGCATATTGCAACTGACAGCTGGGATTTCTCTCCTTTATTCGGAAACATTTTCTACTACAGGAAGATCAATTGGTACAGTAAATATTTACTATCTCCTCAAATTCTTTATAATATTGGTTTCTATTGTCCTGCATGAAATGCTGCCTGTAGTGAGCTGCTGACCTTAATTTGTAGAGGTGCAATCTGATGCATGCATGTGTGAATTAAGCATAGTCGCTGTGCTGCTTGCTCATTTCCTTGCATTTTGGCTAGAGTTATCTCATTTCTCCGGGCTATGGGAATCGATTGTATTTTGCATGAACAGGTCAGTAGAAAGGAAAGTTTTACTGTTCTGTGGCAATTATGCTCTATTATTATTGGTAGCTTTGTTAACCAAGAGGTTAAGAAGTAGGCATTGTTTAAGAGCTGTCTAAGTAGATATTCTTCTCCCTCTTCGACACTCGTGATATATGGAGGCATTGCTTTGCTCAAACGAATCCTGAGGAAGTGTTAAGATACTGAGAATATTTTACTAGTGGCAGTTTTTCTATACGATACGCACTGTCAACGCTGCATGGCATAGGAAAGGCTATATAGAGGGGGACAGCAACCTTAACAAAGGTATGAAAATTGGGTACTTAATTTGCATATGTAGTGGCCTGTTCATGCCTCTGCGCTATATTTTTTTGCCGTGTGACTTCCACGTTGATAGTCAACTCATGTTCAGCCGGGCCAATTATAGCAGACGGGTGCTGACCATGCACCAACTCGTGCCATTGCAGCTGGTGCCATGCGAGCACTCAATGCCAAGGGTATCGTGCATCGAGACCTGAAGCCGCAGAACATCTTGCTCTGTCACGGGCCGCGACCCAAGCCGGCACCGGCGGACATCACACTCAAGATCGCGGACTTCGGCTTCGCGCGGTTTCTCCAGGACGGCGTCATGGCGGCCACACTGTGTGGGTCGCCCATGTACATGGCGCCCGAGGTGATCATGTCTCTCCAGTACGATGCCAAGGCCGATCTATGGAGTATCGGCACCATCGTGTTCCAGTGTCTCACGGGCACTGCACCATTCAAGGTATGGAGGACAAACGTCTACTGTGTGCGCATTGCAGAAATCCATGAATGCTTCTGTGGACTCTTTTGCAATCTACACAACTGCTCGCTCATTTTCCAACTCTTGGTGTCAGCTGAACATGGACAAGCCACATGACACTTTCTATACATGTGTCAGTTCTTGTGTGTGTTTGTCATTGGCTCTTGTGCGAAACCCTCTTTAAGAAACAAAACTTGGTTGATCCAACAATATAAAAAGTTTGTTGCACCGACAGAGGAAAAAATGCACTTATCACAAGTTGTGCTTTCTCTAAAACATAGTTGTTTACATGATGGCCAATCATGAGTCCCCTTGGGGAGCGGCTATGCTGCCTAAGTGTCCACAAAGTCGGGCGCAGTATGGCACAGTGCCATGTACAGCAAGGCACATTCTCCGATTTCTTTTGCAAGTAAAGAAGTCTTCGAACTCTGAACAGGGGTTTAGTTCCATGCGAATTTTCCCCCATTTATATGTAGAAGCTGATCAGTGTCTTTTCTTTGCTTACTGTGTCTTCTCTTTGCTTACTGTTTCAGGCTCAGACTCCTCAGGCCCTGAAACAGTTCTACGAGAAAGCAACAAACCTAGCTCCCAAGTAAGTCTATGAATTTTAATCATTTTCTTCTCTCCATAAACATTTTTCTGTGATAAGCCGGTTTTTTTTTCTTTAAAAGGGCCACATTATTGGCACACTTAGAGAGCTCTCTCTGTTCTCCTTTCGCCAATTCATGCTTTTAGGGTGCCTCAAATGAATGTTGATTTTTTTTTCTATTGATCACATATGACATTTTGGTTGTAAAATGTCTCTTTTTTTTTTGCACTTGAAATTGTAAAATGTCAGTCAACATTGTTTTTACCTCTCAGAAAAATGTAATTCATGGCTAATTAAAGTAGCAGAGTTTTTAAGTTTTATGACAAGAGCTGCAATAAGTATCACTTGGTTTCTTGTTGCCTTTCAATATGTTGAATAATTACATTCTTCTGCAAACTATTGCTTTAAGACGTGACAGCTTAGCATGGTATAATAAGAAAGTGCAGCATAAAATTGTCTAGCAAAATGTTTATCTATGAATAGACGGGGGATTGCAATCACTTGAAATGATGAGCATATTGAAAGCATTATACCTCTTTTTCTCCTTCTTTAGGATACCATCTGGAACGTCTCGTGAACTGCACGATCTTCTGAGCAGGCTTCTCAAGAAGAATGCAAAGGATAGAATGGATTTTGGTGTGTAGCTTGGCATTTTACCACCATACTAGTTACTTTGGCATTAAAATCTGATCGGTGACTGATTGCTCATTTTTTCTTGCCTCGCTATTGCAGATGAGTTCTTCTCACATCCATTCTTGAAGACTGTGACCAAGCTGAGTGAGTACTCAAAGAAAAAATTCTGTTTCAGCTGTTTCAGGAAGCTGTTATGTCACCAGGCACTTTCTTTTCATTAATTAACACTTTTTATTAGTGCCCGTCATGTAAGATATTGACCTAATTTGTCTCAAGTGTATGCAGTAATCACCTCGGCTTAAACCAAGCTGTAGTGTTTTAAAAGTGACAAGTGTCTCTGAGTAAGCATACGGCAGTTGTATGAATGGAGTAAGTGATTCTGTGGGTCGTAACCTACTGTTTTGGTGGGCTGTTCAGGTTCTCCCATGCCAGTGCCATCGCGACGCTCAGCATCTCCACCGGATGTGGGGGGTGGAGCAGTGGCCCCTCCATCAGGGGGCTGGGGCTCCCCCATGTCGGGACAGCTTCCCCCTTCCCCTCAGGGCTGGTGTGGGGAAGACTTGGGGGGCTCGGGGGCGACGCAGGCAGCTGCCCTCAAGAGTGCCTCATCCTCCTCCTCGCCTGAAGAACAGGTGGGTGTTTGCCAGCCTCTTGTTTTTTTTTTTTTTGTGTGTGGTTGTAGAGTCCATTCAGCCAATGCATTTATGTCATTTTAGGTAGATACCGTATTTACTCGCATAATCCTCGCACTTTTTTGCCAGAAAACTGATGCAAAGTTGGGGGGTGCGAGAATTGTGCGGGAAAAGCTTTCCACGAAAACGCAGGAAGCGAAAAAGAAAACCAAGTGGCCGCAAATCGGGATTCTCGCGCCAGCAACTTACAGCAAGCTTTAAGAAGTACTAATTAAAGCTTACCTCAACAATAAAAGCAGAGGTTCATCACAAGGCAATATTTATTTGAGACACAAAGTGGAAGCAAATAGTCAAGAATAAGAATACCATACGTGAAGCGTGTGGACGTTGCGGGCGTAGCGGTAGCGGTCGACGCTCAACAGGAGCCCTCAAAAGGTAAGCGTAGGACGTCGGTATTGGGCTGATGGCTATTTAACAGAACCGTCCGCAGTTTCCTTCTGAAGAAATAAAGTTTACCATCAATCTCAGTTTTAGGCACACGCAGGCCCAACGCGTCTTGGTGGCTTTCAGCTGCCGTCACCAGTAGCGAACACAAGACTCGTAGGCTCCCAAGAGCCTACCGGCGGCCCTGTTGCCGTTGTTTAGTGCATAATCTATCACTTGCAACTTGAAGCAGCCGTGTGGCTTCAGTATCGCCCCATAACGTGCCAAGATTACCGACACAACATACGAAACACGCCGCAACGCGCACTGGCCACTTAGGCTTGGCTTGGATTGGATTGAATCTCCGTGCAATAGTACGCTTGATGCTTAAGAGATGGCGCCAGATAGCGCACGCTATCATCACCAGTGGCTGGAATGAGCAGACGACAATATTGCGGGAGTTTTCGGGGGTGCGGTAATTACTCGAGGAAAAAAAAAAATCTTATTTTTCTTGGGCGATGTGGGTGTGCGAGAATTATGCGAGTGCGAGGATTACGCGAGTAAATACGGTACGTAGCAAGGTAGCGAGTGCAGTACCGATAATGGATTAACCTGGCACACGGCTGTGTTATCCTTATAACCCTCTTAACGAAGGTACACATCAATGTTTAAGACGTTACTGAGAGAATAACTTGAAAAAACATCATGATGCAACATCTCTGTCATGTGACACACATCCTCGGGATTCGCTTGCTGTAATTGCCAGTCCACCAATCGCAGGTAGATTTGTTCAAAATTTGAAGCTTCTATCTACAAGCACAGTACTGTTGTTTGTGTACGTCTTGGCTCATGTTGTCGCTCTCTCTGCTTCTTCTAGTTTCCTATTTCTTAATTTTTTTGTGTTTTTTTTTTGCACATTGGCAACTTCTTGTGTCATTTTATTCGGAATCTTTGCAGGACTTTGTTATCGTCCCAACTTCGATTGGAGAAGATCAGCAAAGTAAGTGTTTGAGTACTCTTCTTCAAGTTTTATTGAGATCCTTCATGTGCGGCATTGCTTGACTGTTAAGGAACTGCTATTCCTTACTTAAGTCATGTTTATTCATTATTTCCTTAATACAAAAAGGTGCAGCCAGCACAGGGCACAAAGAATGAGGTACACTGTTCTTGTATGGAAGTAAGACTAATTGTTCTTTGCAGAGTTTGTCATTGTATAGGGCTTGATTTGACGTTCCCTTCTGTCACTGCTTGTATATTTTTCTATGCATACATCCACATTGTTAACTAATGTCATTCATACAACAGAAGGCCAGATCATATGATGCCAAAAAAAGTGTAGGTTGGATATGCACCCACATTCTTTATATGGCCCGTGAAGTGTACCCCGTGAATAGTTCATTTTTATTGCCCAAAACTGCCAGAGCACTTCGAACACCTTCTGGACCTGCACCGTTGCAGGCAGTGGTGCTGGAGGTGCTCGATGGCCTTCCGAGGACTCGGGCAGCACTCCAGCCAAGAAGATGGCCTCGGGAGGCAATGTGCCGGCATCGCCAACGAGCCACGAGGGTTCTCCTAGACCTTCCTTCTTGCCCGTGCAGCAGCCGCAACAGCAGCAGCAAATGATGAAGCAGCAACAGCCATCCCATCAGCCCCAACCGAGAGCTCCCTGCGGCCCGCGGACAGAACCGATTCCAGTTCCGTCGCAGAAGCGGGCCTTTGAGCAGATGCAACGCAGCGGAGGCAGCAGCAGTGGTGGTGGTGCAGCCGCAACGACTGCAGTGCTGCCTTCTGAAGGAGCTGCCTCGCCCAACGATAACATGACTGGAGCACCTTCATCGCCACGAGTGAGCATTGCACCGAGACGGGGTTTGGAGAAAGCTTTGGTTACTCTTGAAATGGGGTGCGAGTTCATAGTGTAGTTCTAGGTCTCACGCAGCGACTACTAATGTTAAATAGATTTGGAGAGTTGGTGCTGCATTTTCCAACTGGGTACATCGTGGCAAGGTAGAAAATGGGGGGGGGGGGGGGGGGGAAGCACAAGTTCTCTTTTTGAATTCACTGGTGTCTTAGTCATTTCCTTTTATTCTCAAAAACTTAAAAAGAAGTAAATTTGGTTAGCTGAGACAGTCCCAACACATTCTTTGCCATGGTGTGATAAGATTAGGCAGGAAAGTGACGGTAATCAGTCTTGGGCAGCCTCTTTCTTTGATGTAATTGGAAGATTTAGGGCTATTTTCTTAATGTGTTGTTTTTTTATATGTACATTTGTGAGCAAAAGTCAAGGGCCTTGGCACAAATAAAAGAATTATATTTAAGCACATTTCCACAGTGTGAAATTGCCATAGTGGAACTGCACACTTGCTGAATTTCAACGCACATATTCGAACTGCAAAAGAAAAAAAAATATATATATATATATTGATAATATAGTAATAATTTTTAGCGGCTGCAAATGGTCTCCGAACATTTGCTTATGACTGTGTGTCTGTGTGAGATGTTGCAGAAAGATGCCCGTTTCTTTAATAAATGCTTTAGTGCTTTAGTTAACCTCCCTGATTTATCTCTCCGAAGCGGATGCAACTGGAGCGGAAGGACTCGCTGGGGTCGAACTCAAGCGACCTGGGGCGCAGGACGCCAGATTTCTCCAACCTGTCTCCTCCCTCAGGTTTGTGGCTGTCCGTGTTGCAAAAGTGTTACTCTAACAACTCTCCTCATTCTCTAGAATTTGTTGTTTCTGGGCCTACTAAAAGCAACTTGTATACGCCAACTTGTATATGTACGAAAATGGTGAACCACAGCAAGCAGGCAGCATTAAACAGGACATACTATTAAAAAAAAAGCAGCCAAGAATTTGGAAGTTGCAGATACTGTACCTCAATGGGTCATCTGAGGGATGTAAATTGTTGAA